TCCTGCTGATGTTTAAAAGAGTCCAGTGGCCCCAGGAGCAACGTGAGGCATGTTCAATAGTTATCCCTTTTTCCTTCACCTTGTTCATGCATCAGCTGCCTGTTTGGTGTCAGTTCTAGCTCTGCTATTGCCATTATTGGAAACCATCCCTTGCAGAGTAAGGGGAAGGAGACATACCTTCAACAGAACAATTAAACTGTCTGTACGCAAGCAGCTGTCAAACTCACGGGCTGAAAAAAGGAGGAAAACCAGAGGTTTTCTTTTTGTGATGGTTGTTTTCTGTTCTAGGAATTTGGGTTTGTTTCTTATAGCAGTAGTAGACAAACAGCATGTGCATTGGATTTGCATGATTTTTTTTTTTTTCTTCCAAGTTCATGATGTCCCTTTATTAAGCTCTGGAAATCGGCCAAAGTGTGCCTGCATGTGGGTGAACTAAAAAGATTTGAGAGACTGCTGTAATTTCCTCCCCACATGGGCAGAATAATCTGCAAGGATTAGAGGAAAAAAGAAATCCTTAGGGATCAGGGACAGGAGGAGAAGGTGACTCCATCAAGGGTGGTATTAGACTTGAGGTGACAGCAGGGTGCTGATTTGGGAACGCAAATGTGCTGGTGTGCAGGGTGACCACCTCTGACCTCACAGTCTCCCGGAAGCAAAGGGAGCCGCACTGATCTGCTTTCCTTCAGAGGACAGTCTTTCTGTTCAAGCATTAAGATGACTTGAGGGATGTTGTAACAACACTCCATTTGTCTTTGCCCTATGTTCCTGAGGACTGGTATAGCTTGGTGTGGTCATGTTTGATATCAGCTCAACCTGGAGAGACCATAAGTGTCCCTCCCATCTTCCTTTCTGCTGATTCCTGACACCTATAACTTTGCTAGGCCTTGACTGCTGCCTCCTTTCTTCTGTCATCCCACCAAATCAGTGCAATGTTGCTTCACTCCTGGTATCACTCCCTGATGGCAATGAAAGGATGCGTATCCTTATCCATGGCTTTCGGTTGGCGTGATGGATGTTGCTGCCCTATGATGGGAGGGGACCACTGGTCAGTTCCCCCCTGCCCTGCCTACTCAGTTTGCCTCTATGATGAGCTCAGAAAGCCTTCCCCATGCAAGAAGGCTGTTTGCCCTTCTTGCAACCAGCACCGTCTTGTTTCATGTTGCAAGGATATTTGGCACCTGTGGCAGCAAGTACGGAAGTGGTGTAAATCAGAGCCACCATAAATCAGTGAATCTGTCTGCCACCACCAAGGAAGAACAAGGGCACCTTTTATTAAGAGAGCTGCAGTTAATACGAGGACACATCCTTGGTCATCTTCTCTTGATTGTTATAAATTAGAGGGACACTCTCCTCACCTGGAGTACAAGGTGCTCTGTGCCTTGTCCCTGGAGGTTGGAACACTTTGAGTCCTCCCCCAGTGCACGCAGCTTTCCCATCCCAGGTGACTGCCCTCAAGAGCAGCTCCTGTGGGAGTAGAAGAGATGGGGAAGGGGGTGTTGTGTGAAGGGAAGGGCAACCAGAACTGGACACAAATTTGGATTCAAGTGTGATGGGAGGGTCTGTTCAGCTGGTACATCTCCAGTGTCCATACTTCCCCTTGTCTCCATGCCTCATCCTTCCCTCATTAGGGCAAGGCCATGCTGTTGCTTCCTGCTACTTATCCCAGGGTGCTGGAGGCTTATTTTGGGAAACAGCTTGGCAGGATCTGGGTCCACATGTGTGCACCCTGCAGGTGGCTGTAGCAAATGCCGCTCCACACCTGAATGCCTTGGTGTCTGGCTTTCCTAGACCTCCCTGAGATCAGCGTGAGCCATGTGAACCTGACGGTGCGGGAAGGGGAGAATGCCGTCATCACCTGCAATGGCTCAGGCTCGCCACTGCCCGATGTCGACTGGACAGTGGCTGATCTCCACTCCATCAACACGCACCAGGTAGGGGCCACGGGACCTCAGTGCTGTGTGCGCCTGACGTGAAAAGGGCAAGGCAGCTGCCACGGGTTCCTCAGGTCTGTGCATGCAGGGCAGAGGGTCAGGTAGATGATGGAGACTGCTATGAGAAATGTGAAAGGGCTGTATCCAAAGGAAAACTGAGTCCATACTGTATCCACACAAGAACCTGGGAGCTACCTGAAGGCAACAAAACCTTTCCTCTGTGTGGCTGGAAAATAAGGATGAGATAGCTTCATATCTCAGTGCTGCCTAATTGAATTAACTCATGTCTCCTCTAATGAAACTACCTGTTTACAGAGGTGTCTGCAATAGCTGTAGCTGAAATGGCAGCGAAACAAGCTTCTCTAGAGGCAAGCCATGTTTATCAGTGCTACAGTGCTGCAGCTGCCCCCCCTCCCAGCAGACATTCTTATAGGAAACACTTCTCCTCACCCAGATCCTAGTTGTCCTTGGATTTTGGAGACCTTCTCACATCTTATGTGGAAACTGGGATCCTCAGCTTCTGGGGGCAGGAGTGGGGAGGAGAGAAGCCAACAGACACTGATTGCTGTCTGTATTTCTCTCTGGGATTTTTAGACCAACCTCAACTGGACCAATGTTCATGCCATCAATTTGACCTTGGTGAATGTCACCAGTGAGGACAACGGGTTCCTGCTTACCTGCATTGCCGAGAATGTGGTGGGGATGAGCAACGCCAGTGTGCTGCTCACCGTCTACTGTAAGTAGCACTGGAGAGACCTTGACCATGTAGAGGCTGGAGGGCTGCCCTGGGAACTGTGTGAATGCATGGCCACTTGCTCCCTGTGACACACTGGTTTTGTGGATGAGGACTAGGAGCTGAGCACAGGATAGTGGCAAGGTGGATCCTCGCACAGCTGTCTCTTAAGTGTCAGTATTTTTGCTTTCCTGCTGCTTCCATTAATGCAGAAGTGAGCACTAGAGCAGGGGAGGAGCAGCAGTGCTACACTGGTGGTGGACGTCTCTCCACTCATCTCTTGGAAGATCCAGCAGAGTAAGGAAAAGCTGTAGAGGGGCTAAAACTCTGTTTACAAGCACAGACTTGCATGCCCTGATGCCATGTGAGAGGTTAAATGTCAGCCTTGCTAAAGCCAGTATAAATCTTGCCGCTGATTTCAGGGCTGCTAGCACTTCCTCCCGGATCTGTTCCTACAAAGTTAAACTGCAAATGCCGTGTAAACATGCACATGTCAAATTTCAACTGTTCACTTTTAGCTGCAAGTAGTTAAACTTTCTCTGTGCTTTCTAATATAAGTTAACACAAACCTGACCTTAAGAGGAAGTTTACACAGCTTTGTGCTCTCAAGCAGCTAAGATTTACTATATGTTGCTGTGTCTGTAATATTTGTCCTTACTCTGTAGTTTGAATATCTGTCCCCCACACCCAACCCTGCCAGGTAGAGTGGGGACCTGTGTGGGATTCTGGCTAGTCTTGGTGAACCCACGTGTTACATGTCCAGTGCAGTGCTGAAGCCACTGTAAAGACAAGGGGCCACGGGGGACTGGAAAGAGGAGAGCAAATGCTTTACTACTTTCATCTTCCTTCCAATAAGTACTATTGATGGATTGAAGAATGGAGGTAATTAAAGTTCCCATTAGCTCAGAGGTGATTGGTCAGCAGGCAGGTGTTTTTTGCACTGTGTTTTAGCATCTTTTCCTCCACACCTTAAAAAGCACCACGCCAATGCCTATTTTCACCCATGTAATCCTCTAAGATGCTGACAATTTCTGCTGCCCCTGCTCTTGTTGCCCAGACCCACCACTCAGGCTGTAATTTCATGCTGAAAAGATCTGGGTTTGTGCATGTGTAGGTGGCTGCCTGTTTTTGAATCCTCCTTGCCAGGAAGATGTGAACAAGCCACATGCAGATCTAGGCGTGTGAGTAAAAGGATGTGGCTGGGACACGGCTGTGTGGTTCAGGGTACCTGGGTGCTGGTGGGAGAATTTTGCTCAGCTCCAACCAGCTCTGCACCTTGTTTTCTTCTACTACCTTCACTGCCTGAAAAATTCACCGTCTTTTCTTCCAAAAGATGGGTCAAAGGTGGTGTGTTCTTTTTGTTCCTTGTGGATGCCCTATGGGTTGTCTTTGCAGCTGGATGGTTCCAGAAAAAAGAGAGTTTTAGGGAAGACCTACATCTTTTTGTGTCCTTTGTCTTTGCGCAAAACTGTTCTAGTTCAGACCTTGTCAGCCTTGGGGTTTGGGACTTTACATGTAGGCGTTGTAAATGGGGTTTCAGAAGCAATGGCAGAACAACATTTGAATTCTTGGGGTGTCCCGGGGGGAAGACAATGCATATGCAATAAATTGCAGGTGGAGTCTCTGCTTTTCTTTTCCCTCTCCTATTCTACTCCCTTTAATTAAAACACCCCTGGAGGGTGTTCGGTGGGTGAGAACTCCTTTGGGATATTCAGGCAGTCAAAACCCCCAAGGACAGGCAGTCGCTGAGGGATGTTTGCTTCCACAGCTATGCAATCCAAAATTGCTCAGTGCGACTGGAGAGCCCTCAAGGGGCACCTTACACATGTGTAATGTAACAGTGCTACGTCACAGTGTCCTCCTTAACGGGGACAGGAGGCCTCCCCGTGATCACTTGAGGGAAGGAGAGCAGCAGTAGGTGTGTGGACTGGACTGGGGAAACTCCAAGCTTAATTGTTTCTGGGCTGGTGAAAGGACCATCCCTGTGGTTAATTTGTACTCCTTTTCACAAGCCCAAGAGAGCTGGCTATGGTTCAGATCCTCCTCCTGGGGAGCGTGGAGTGTTCTTGTGACTTAGCGCTGCTTCTTTGCAGACATCCATGGGAAGAGTAGAAGGAACAAGGGATTTTGGAGGTTGTCTTTTCAATAGTCTTAATTTCCATGGTGCAGAGAGACATGATGTGGGTGGAGGTGTGCTGTGAGCCTGCCATGTTTCTCTCTGCTAGATCCCCCTCGCATCCTAACCCTGGAGGAGCCGGTGCTACACCTGGAGCACTGCATTGCATTTGCAGTGCATGGGAACCCAGCTCCCACCCTTCACTGGCTGCACAATGGCCAGGTCCTCCGGGAGACAGAGATCATCCACATGGAGTTTTACCAACAAGGGGAAGTGTCTGAGGGTTGCCTGCTCTTCAACAAACCCACTCACTACAACAATGGCAACTACACAATTGTGGCCACCAACCAGCTGGGCTCAGCCAACCAAACCATCAAAGGACACTTCCTTGAAAAGCCCTTTCCAGGTAGGATATTCAGTTTATCTCATTAGGGTTGCTTGCAATCCAAAGGTCTTACTATGGTACCACCAGTAATCCTTGCACCTAGATGAGGCCTTGACAACCCAAGTTGTCTTTTGTCTGAGCAGCGGGTTGGAAGAAGTGACCTCTGGAGGCCACTTCTGACCAGTATGATTCTCCTACTCAAGTGTGCTTTGGTCTCAAAACAACTCTTTAATGCAGAGAGAAACTAACTGGTTTAGATATTTTTGTTGTGTAATATATTCTGCAGTGTTTTTTTTCTTTAAGATCTTTAGGGATTTCAGTGGGAACAGGATGTAAGTTTGGTCAATTATTTTGGATCTCCTCAGGGGTGCCCCAAAGAGGTTGCCCAATTTTTTGAGAGAAAGTATTCTTCTATGTGATTGCTAGTTATAAGCTAAGGAAAGGAAAGCCCTTTAAAGTGATGTAGCTCTTTCCTTTTTTTTCTTCTAGCTTGCATTTGTGAAATGATTATAGCTGGATGCAGCAGTGTCAGGATTGTTTTCTTTCTAAATACGATGTGCAGTTCCAGGATGACAGCTCTACAAAAGATGCGAAGGCTCAATTAGTTGCTTTGCATCAGTTTGCTGGGATTTCTTAACTGATTGGTTGGAATTCCCTGTTGTACTCCCTAGCGATTCAGGGCTTAACTGCAGGAAAAAAAAAAGCATTTGAGGACATGAAGATCCAGCTCTGGGGAGTGCAGTAGAGACTTTTTTGGTGACCTGTCTGCTCTATAGGAGCATGGAGGGTCTTGGTCTCCTCTCTGTCATTGCAACACCACGCTGGCCATCATGGAGTTAAGATCTGTGCATGCTGCTGCCTTCAGGAATGATGCCATGAGAAAGTGGCAGCTCTAAATTGGCCCCTACAGCCCAAGAAAATCCAGCAAAATAGGGCGTTTGCTAAATATAGAAAAATACCAATGGTACTCTCATTTATTATTTATATCACACCATATATGTACACAGAGTTTTCCCGCAGGTCAAATATTGTAAATGCAAACCCAAATCTCTGCCTTGAAGATTTGGCAATTGAACAAATGAGCTGATACAGATGGGAGTGGAAAATTTGTATTCTGGCTTCAAGGACAATGCCCTGTTTGGCTATCTGACCTATTTATGTTTCCTTCTGTCAGGGCAGAAGAGCAGCTTATCAAATGTAGGTGGGTGAGGAGAGGCCCAGGTTTGCAGTCTCAGCTCTGTCAGGTCCCACCTTTGTGACTCAATTTCCCCATCTGTGAAATGGGGACAGCTCTTAAGTAGGTGCTGGACCTCCAGAAAAGGGGGCAGATCTGCTGTTCTGGAGAGCTGATTTTGGAAATGGATCTGAGCCGTGCTGTGATGTGGGAAGGTATTTTGATGTTTGAAGAGCCACTTGTGTCAAAGGCTCTGGGAGAATCCGTTTGTGTGAAATATATGTAAAATATGGCCATCGTGAGTGTATCTTCACCCACGCCTTGTATGTGTTGTTGGTGTGGAGTACTTGCAGACCCTGAACCATCTCTCAGCA